TTTTTTCCTTTTTTCCTTCTGTCTCTTCCTCTCTCTCCTCTACCAGGAAGACTCTTTTTCACATCTCTCTCCTAGCTCGTGATGGGAATCCTTTTGTGACGGGAATCCTTGGTGACTAAGAACAGAAGTGGGCTAACTGGAAGGTGATAAGGGGAATGGAGAATGTCTCGATTCCTCCTGTCTGCCCATATTTGTTAGTTCCTGGCAGTTTATTTTATACTTAAATCCCAAACAAAAGGGATTTCTCTTTTGCAACAAACTGGGCAGACTGCTAAATTTGTGGGACCGTGACTCCACGCTTGAACACCAGAGGGCGCACTTTCCAGAGCGAAGTGACTTCCTGGGGGCTGAAACAAGCCCCCTGACCTAGCACGGGACCTCAGTCAACCTCAGGTGACTTCATCAAAGACACCGAGCCAGCCCCCTCAGCCTCTTTCCTTTTCTACATCCCAGTAAAGTCCATGATCTCACAGTTGCCCTGCTCTAGAGCAAGACTCCAGAACCTTCTAGAAGCCATCTGCTTCCTCATTTTTTCCATTTTCTCTTCAACCCACTCCAGTCAGGTATTGTCCCCACCACAGCTGCACCTCCCCAGGTCACCACTGGCTTCCATGCTCCCATCCAAGCCTCACACTTCAAGCTCCTCGCTGACAACATGCTGCCGTGGTTCCCCCGGATCTCCCCCACCTCACTGCCCCCTCATCCTCAGATTCTTTGGCGAGCCTCACTCAATTGCCCTCTCTCCCTCCATCTTCCTGCCTCACTCTTGGTGATCAGGAGATCACTCAGTTGATTGCTAGCTCCGGAAGTCTTAAGAGACACTGTGGTTCCTGTCTCTTGGGTGCTATATTTCTTTCTTTCTTTTTTAACTATCTTATAAATTTCTTTATTTCTATTTTATGTACATTGGTGTTTTGCCATGGGTCAGGTACCCTGAAACTGGCGTTATAGACAGTTAGTTGTGAGCTACCATGTGGGTGCTGGGAATTGAACCCAGGTCCTCTGGGAGAGCAGTCAGTGCTCTTAGTCACTGAGCCATCTCTCCAGCCCCTGGATGCTGCATTTCTTTTCATAAACTGTGAGAGGTAGTAAGTGTTCATTGTTTTAAGTCACTAAAGTTTAGCACAGTGTCTTATGAACCCGTAGACAGCATCCTCAGAGGCCCCCCTTTGACCTCCCACTCAGCATTAACTTACCTCTAGCATAGCACTATTGGCTAAATTCTGTCTCCTAAAGAGATGTTTTTTAACTCAGGACACCTATCAATGTGATGTCATCTGGAAAGAAGGTCCCTACAGATGTAATCAAGCTGAGGTCATACCTGTAAGGGTGTTCCCAAATGTGATAATTCATGTCCTTATCAGAAAGGGGAAATGTGTATGTA